CCCCAAAACCCCAAAACCCCTATTGTTGATTATACAAAAGATAATGGGAATGGTAATTTAACTATATAATATAATTTAGATAAATCATAGATACTTAAATGATGATGATGTAACAAAAAAGCAGTGACATCTTTACATGCATTTGCTGCAACAAATTTTATAATCTCGATGATAGGAAACCGATATAACTTCCCTGTGAAGATGTTATATGCCGTTAATGCTATTGCATTCAGAAGGACTAAGTTTAGAGCTAGCAAATCTAATGTCCATTTGATAATACTCATCTTTTTGATATTGATCATCCAATTAGAACACCATTATACTTGCTCAGAAATCTAGAGAAGTATGATTTTCATTTGATAACATGTGATCAACATCCTTCAGAATATGCCAATATATTTTGTAAACAGCTCAATAAAGTCATTTGTAGTAGGTGCTTTTAATAAAATCCACACCCACACTACTATAGAGATAAAAGTTCACATTTCTTTTTCGACAGAAAATTCTTAGAAGAATCATTTTAAAAAATGATTAATATCAACGAAAATGTAATACAAGATATTAAGATTCTTCAAGATAACATTAATCAATTCATAAATAAGGAAAGAAATTTTAACATTGAAGAAATTCAGAATATGATAACCAAGAATTATCACATCATTTAATAATCTTAGTTGGCTGATAAGGATTTGCTATTACTATCATATTAGCCAAGCATCTTAAGTTTTATATCTAATTTTTCGTAAATTATCCTCAATTTAACAATTATATAGTGAGAGTTTTGAAGAACTAAATCAAGCTGATGAAAAAGAAGTAATAAAAGATATCAATAATAATGAGCCTAAAATTAATCAAAATGCAGATGTTAAGTAGGAATTATAAAAACTTAAATAAGTATAATAAGAACTATAAAGAAATGATGATTTCTATCTAGAGTTAAAATTCTATGAGTTTAGAAGATTGGTAATGCTTCATATCTAAAATGATAGAATTACTTCACATCTTTTGAGAATTAAAGGTTCGACAAAGCTTTTGTATAGAGCAACAAGAGATGGATTTTAGGCAGTCAATTTTCATTCGAGATGTGATAATTTAGGGCCAACTATATCGTTTATTATGAGTCATTAAGGAAATGTATTTGGAGGATATACTTCTGTTTCTTGGACCTCTCCAGCCAAAAATACAAATTATCCTGATAAAGATTCTTTCTTATTTCAACTTAATTTGAACAAACTTTATTAGAAAGTTGGGTCTCTAGATTTTGCAGTTCAACATAACACTAAGTTCCTAATGGTATTTGGGTCAGGAGATATGCTCATCAGTGATGAATGCAATAAAAACTCTGAAAGCTACTCCGAATTAGGGTACACTTATGAACTTGAAAAAGATATAGAATCTTCAAATAAATAGAAATTATAATATCTAGCAGGGACTGATTACTTCAAAGTTATTGAGATTGAAGTATATCAAGTAAAGCCATGAATAATTAATTTTTTAGAAGGAAAATAAATATAAATTTATTTCTAATTGTTTAATATTCCAATCCTAAATATTTATTCATATGGGGTTTTGGGGTTTTGGGG